CGATTACTGAGGCCACGACGAACAGCTACACACCGTCATTGTGCGATGCGCAATTCTCTCGCTTGTCAGATGCCGAGCGGTACAAGTATGCGGTGTCTTGCGATTGTAAGGCCCAGTCGGAGTCGGATTTGATCGTGAACTGCAAACCCGTGGCGACCGAGCGCAAGTCTGGCAACATAACAATGTCTGCACATGACTTGGCGTGGCTGAGAATACCCTCTGACACTTGCAAGGGCATATACGATAACAATAAGAGCGCGTCAATGGTGGACGCCACGGCGGATGCCTGGAAGACGTTGGACTGGTCCGGCTGTGACTTGGGCGGTAAGGTGGTTTGCGTTGATGACCGCGGCGAGGACCTGAGTTGTCACTACTTCAATTATCCGTTCGAGTACGACTTCCCGAGGGTCTGGGAGGCGGTCATCCGTCACCTGAAGCCCTCCCGTTGTCTCCTCACAAACAACGCAGACGTAGTCGTGCACCTCATCCGTAACGTGGCCCGTGGACGGGCTGCCGCCAAGTATATAAATGCTGACATGCGCGGCCTCTCCGAAGCAAGCGTGAACAGCCTAGGATTGATTTTAGATTCATATGACGAGGTCGCAGCTTGTTCCGGCACTTACAACGGTTGTCAACTACCCGACTGTGGATGCGTCGAAGGCGTGTTCAGCGCCGAGGCGGTGGACCCGTCCGGGAAGGACGTGGTCTGGGGCTATGTTGCTGACGTCTTTACCACTGCTCGGGAAATGAAAGCGAATTACTCTTTATTTCAAACGCCAGGCTACTCCCCAAAGTTCTGTAAATTTGAGTGCTTAAGTCACGCCAATAAGACGGTCAATGAATACAGGACCGAGATAGCACGATCCTTGACGTCTTTGCTACTACGTGAAACGTCTCACAAGGCGTCTCACAAGTCACCCCACTCCTCGCCGTTGTATAAAAAAAAGCGCGAAGTAACCATGACCAATTAAAAGCTGTCATTGAGCTGTTATGTGCCCGACGCTGACTAGCCTCTTATGCTTTTTTCGATACCGCCGTCTTATGGTGACTTGTTGCCAATTCACAGCGAACGTCTGCTGGCGAGTGGAGCCAGTCGGGAGTGGATCCTTAGTTCCACTGTCGGTCGCTCCTCCACTGCGTCATCGTCTTGCTGCAAAGGTTCCTCAGAGGGCGGCTTCAGCCAACGGTCTCTCAACAGAAACCATAACAGAAACGATCTCTCAGCGCCGCTGCTGCGTTGGTCATCCAAATACGGCCACGTGTCCGTGCTTCTCTAGCCTCTGCAGTAGCTTCGCGACGTCGGCGGGTGCTTCTGGCAGCGCTGCCTGGGGGGTCTCCTCTCCTTCCGACGGTGTGCACCTTCTTCCGCTAATTGTCCCAGCGGTTCCTCTCTGTCTAGATGATCTGGCCACGGTGGGTGGCAAGTCTTTCCCCCGTGGTTACATCACCACCGGACCTCGCATACGTGGTCCTGCTCTTGGTCTGGGTCACGGAGCGCAGTGGATCGTCTCGGTCAGGCCCCATCTACGCGTCAGGCCCCATCTACGCGTCAGGCCCCATCTACGCGTCAGCCATACACAGCAAGCAAGTGTAAGGCTGGCGCAAGTTTGGCCAGAAGCACGTCCCCGACAATATCGTTAACACCGCCGCCGCCTTATATGCTTTCATCGGGAGGTTGACCTTCGCAGGCTGCTTGCGAGTGTCAACTGCCACCCGTCAACGAAGTGCATCTCCTCCCACCAACCCATCCAGAGCTGCCGTCATTGGATTGTCCGAGTGCGACCTCTTGCATGAGTTAGTGTCACGTCCCAAAGGTTATCGTTTGTTTGGCCAACGTGTTTCGTGTGTCGGAGGGCTACTTCCAAAACTTCATCCCGCTGCAGTAGACGGTGGTGGACAAAGCAACTATTGCTTGCCGCTCGGTATGGCCAAAGGACTTCCTCTCCTCAGTTACCCTACGCGAACCCTCTGCCCGATCGATAGCTGGACCGATACGACGTACGAAGAACTACTCCCGCGACCGCCCCGCGACTGCCCTGCCATCATTTCTAGTCCTATGGCCACGCCTGCTCCCGTGCGTCAGAGTCGCTGTGAGTTGATACCTGCAAGGGTTGCTGTGCTTCCTACGCCTCCAACGGAGACCTTGCACCGTGGTGCCCAGGCGCACTACACCTGAAGCGCTTGCAGAATGTATTAGTGGTCAGCAGGCCTCTTGTATGACTGCGTGAACTAGGGGTTGCACCGAAGGTACAGGCAGTATTATTGATTTCTAATATTACTAAAAAAGTGGTTTGACGGGGACTACTGGATGCGGAATGAGTACATCACTATCATAGGCATCACTATTACCGACGCTCGAGGAGATCCCGTTCGAGGAGATCCCGTTCGAGGAGATCCCGTTCGAGGAGATCCCGTTCGAGGAGATCCCGTTCGAGGAGATCACCTATAATTGCCTTTACACCGAACCAAGTAGATATATCACCATTCGTGCCCATGATATTGGTCTTCGCCGCTTGAGGGATCGCATCGTTCTGTCTACTTGGTGCTTGCCAAATCGATTTCACGTCATAAAGTTTAATTCAAAATGAAGGTTTCTGTTACAATACATTCTGCTGCTGGGTTCCAGGGCCTCACTGGTCTGTTCAACAAGTCGGACTTGTACGTTGAATGCCACTACGGTACCTTCCACTCATGACACACCAAGACTGCCAAGGACAGATTTCGAAGAGACCTGGACCTTTGATTCCAATGACAGCCACTCCTTTGATTCCAATGACAGCCACTCCGAAATTACAATTAAAGTGCGCGATGCCAGACACTTGAAGCTTGATGAGACTCTGGCCGAAGGCGCTTTCAAGTTTGAGCAGAGACCTGGTTACTTCTACACTGCCGAAGTGGGGCTTGTTGACGAGAAACACGGCGATGAACCATCTGTTAGGTTGACTGCGAAGTGTGAGTAAACTGACTCGGTGCAAGCGGAGCTGTGGTGCGATAACACATTGAATTTTTAAGTATGGAACGAATATTGATAATAAGTGTGTGGTGTGGAACTGGATCTTGCTGTGTGATGGAAACCGTCCCAGACAGCCCCTCCGTGTCGGATAACGCAGCCTGGTGTGTCCTGTTGGGTGCTGGGGGACGGCCTGCTAATGCTGAGCTCGTCGTCTGAGTCGCGGAATAGGGGTATCGCGTCAGGAGCGTGTACCGCCATGTTGCCCTCTGTCTCTCTTATATCAAAAACCCCGTTGCCGGCCCGTCATTGAGCTGTTATGTCTCGACGCACCAACCCCCCTCGTCGCTCAATACGGGACCGCTGAAATCCCGAGGAAGTGCTCCAGACCTTCGCGGGTCTCTGGGTCAATATAGATCCTGAGGCGCCTGTACGTACTCTTTTCCTCTACCGGCTCCTCCGGCTCGTCGCCCATCCTCTCCAGGTACTCCCTCGTCAACGATTCTAGCTCGGGATCCTCGCTTTTCTTAAACTTTCGGACTGTTTCTTTGTGTACCTTGAAGGTTGAGCCTGGCTGTCCGTATTGCTCTACCTCCACCTGTGTCCGCTCGATCTTCATCGGGAGTGACCAACGTGACGCGAACCATCTGGGCGTCTCTGGGCCATTGAGCGACGAGGCTGCGGAGCCTGGGTCATTAAGAACTACCACTAGGTCTCCTTGTTTGAGGTCGTTTGGACTATCTTTTTCCAGGGGGCGCTCCCTGAGCATTACCTCCGTCATTCGCTCTCGGAGCCGCATGTTGTGATTCTCTCTGCGCTCCTCCTCCGTCACTGACGGTGTCACCTCTTGCAGGGCGTCGAGCACTGGGGGTTTACCGAACAACGCCTCGTACGGTGAGGTACCTATCGCTGAGTGCGGGGTGATGTTGTGGAGGCGGGTGGCTGAGTCGAGCATCTTCCCTACATCTCTCTGCCCTTCTTGCCATTGCGTGCAGCACATTCTTTAGCTCGACGTGCGAGGCCT